AAGTAAGATTACAAAAATGTAATACTGAAGACTTCTTTCAAAAACAGATCAGTACTAAGTAAATAGTTTGATAAAGAAAAAAGTGACTTTATTCTGAAAGTGTGTTTTGTCTTGAGGTTTTCTCTCTGTGTCTGGTGTGGTTTAGCGATGGCTGGACCGAGGCCTGTGGTGATGAGCGGACCGTCTGGAGCTGGCAAAAGCACTCTGCTGAAGAAGCTGCTCAAGGAGTTTGATGGCGTATTTGGCTTCAGCGTTTCCCGTAAGTCACATACTGAAGTACAAATGCTGAAAAATTAAAAATAACCAAGAATGATCTTTTACCAGATACGACGCGGAGCCCCCGTCCAGGAGAGGAGGACGGCAAAGGTTAGGCTTTTGATCTGCTACAGAAACACAGTTTTCCTGAAAATATCATTGCATTATCCTCACTGAAAAAGCATGACACTTTCACAACAATGACATACGTTCATTACATAAACAGCTAGTTATTTGAGTGACTAGTCAAACAGAATCTCTTCTTAAGGCCTGCTCACCACAAGACAAATGTTTGGTGGAAAAATTTGGTGCGATTAAACATTTTAATTTGAATGAACGGCAGTTTATGTGGCTTTTCAGGCCAAGTTGTTTGATAAAAAAACCATAGCAAAACATTTTTTATATATATACATATACAGAGTTCTGGCATGAAACTCTGGATGGCGCAGTCCGATAGGTCTAACTCAGTCTGACCTACTGACATCATTATCACCTGGCACAGCTGATTGGTTGGTATCGGTAGCCAATGAGCTCACTGCTCAGCATTCAAATATATGACTAGTGCTTACCGTAGCAGTTGTAGCTTGCTTCAGAAACCCTCCACCTTCCCCAGCTCCACCTGTATTGATCTGCTACGAGGTGATTCATGTATGCTATATGGGGGTTATTTCATGTATGTTATATTTGCAGCAGCAATATTTCTTACATGCTCACAGCAGCATGTTGTGGATGTATTGGCAGTAGCAAGTCTCTGTACTTACAGCAGCAGTGTAGCAGATCTAATCCAGCCAAGACCAAACACATTAACATGGTCATGTACTTTACCATGCCAATCCCTCCAAGAGTTGTCATGACAGAAATATATTTATCTATATATCTGTGGCTGTTTTACTTTTTTTCTTCTCTGTGACAAGCGGGTGTCAGAAACCGAAAGTTACGCAGTGCTGCCATTGTCTTTATGTAGATGAAGTATATTAATAAAAAAAGAAATACAAATAGGGTATATCAACATTTTGATAAGCAAATGGCATATGATATATTTTTTCCATACCTTCCGCCTACTGTCAAAGTGTGAAATTGCCTTTTCATTTATCCATCTGTTTTTTTGTTTGTATTTTTCACATTGGTCTGAGACAAATGGAACGTGAAAATGAGTTTTTGTGCTGAACATTAGTGTTGGTGAGAGCAGACCTTCAGCTGTAGTTTCTTATACACACGAGATTCACACCGCAAAGTCAATTCATGAACCTGAATAATTGATTGACACATTGATGAGCTAAAAATGGGGCGGCAGCTGTAAATGAAGCACTCAAATACGTGCTTTATGAATTTGTGTTGTCAGTTTCTTGTCATTTCTATTGGTATTCTGGCTTATCAGTCAATGAGAGACCTATCTTCTGAAAAATTCCCCCTTTTTTTTCAGATTATCATTACGTTACCAGGGAAGTGATGCAGGCGGACGTAGCTAAGGGTGAATTTCTCGAGAATGCGGAATTTTCAGGGAACATGTATGGAACAAGGTATAGTTCCCTTATTACGAGACTTGTTCGTATGTGAAAGTACATCGCTGACACTTTGATACTAATAGAATTTCCTAAAGGTTTTTGTGATAACTGAATGGTCTAGAACAGGAGTGTCCAATCTTGCAGAGTTTGATTCGCTGATCCAGCTGTGTTTGACCCTCTGGTGCCTGGTGTTTTTTCAATTAAATGAATGTAGTATTTTTTAGTTTTTACTTTATTGTACTAAATTTTATTTAGTCTTATATAGACAGGTGTGTGGCTTTCCTAATCAAGTCCAATCAGTATAATCAAACACAGCTGGACTCAAATGAAGGTGTAGAACCATCTCAAGGATGATCAGAAGAAATGGACAGCACCTGAGTTAAATATATGAGTGTCACAGCAAAGGGTCTGAATACTTAGGACCATGTGATATTTCAGTTTTTCTTTTTTAATAAATCTGCAGGGGTGCTGTGTGTACATTAATGAGGAAAAAATGAACTTAAATGATTTTAGCATATGGCTGCAATATAACAAAGAGTGAAAAATTTAAGGGGGTCTGAATACTTTCCGTACCCACTGTATATATATACATATACAGAGTTCTGGCATGAAACTCTAGATAACGCAGTCCGATAGGTCTAACTCAGTCTGACCTACTGACATCATTATCACCTGGCACAGCTGATTGGTTGGTATCGGTAGCCAATGAGCTCGCTGCTCAGCATTCAAATATATGACTAGTGCTTGCTGTAGCAGTTGTAGCTTGCTTCAGAAACCCTCCACCTCCCCCAGCTCCACCTGTATTGATCTGCTACGAGGTGATTCATGTATGCTATATGGGGGTTATTTCATGTATGTTATATTTGCAGCAGCAATATTTCTTACATGCTCACAGCAGCATGTTGTAGATGTATTGGCAGTAGCAAGTCTCTGTACTTACAGCAGCAGTGTAGCAGATCTAATCCAGCCAAGACCAAACACATTAACATGGTCATGTACTTTACCATGCCAATCCCTCCAAGAGTTGTCATGACAGAAATATATTTATCTATATATCTGTGGCTGTTTTACTTTTTTTCTTCTCTGTGACAAGCGGGTGTCAGAAACCGAAAGTTACGCAGTGCTGCCATTGTGTTTATGTAGATGAAGTATATTAATAAAAAAAGAAATACAAATAGGGTATATCAACATTTTGATAAGCAAATGGCATATGATATATTTTTTCCATACCTTCCGCCTACTGTCAAAGTGTGAAATTGCCTTTTCATTTATCCATCTGTTTTTTTGTTTGTATTTTTCACATTGGTCTGAGACAAATGGAACGTGAAAATGAGTTTTTGTGCTGAACATTAGTGTTGGTGAGAGCAGACCTTCAGCTGTAGTTTCTTATACACACGAGATTCACACCGCAAAGTCAATTCATGAACCTGAATAATTGATTGACACATTGATGAGCTAAAAATGGGGCGGCAGCTGTAAATGAAGCACTCAAATACGTGCTTTATGAATTTGTGTTGTCAGTTTCTTGTCATTTCTATTGGTATTCTGGCTTATCAGTCAATGAGAGACCTATCTTCTGAAAAATTCCCCCTTTTTTTTCAGATTATCATTACGTTACCAGGGAAGTGATGCAGGCGGACGTAGCTAAGGGTGAATTTCTCGAGAATGCGGAATTTTCAGGGAACATGTATGGAACAAGGTATAGTTCCCTTATTACGAGACTTGTTCGTATGTGAAAGTACATCGCTGACACTTTGATACTAATAGAATTTCCTAAAGGTTTTTGTGATAACTGAATGGTCTAGAACAGGAGTGTCCAATCTTGCAGAGTTTGATTCGCTGATCCAGCTGTGTTTGACCCTCTGGTGCCTGGTGTTTTTTCAATTAAATGAATGTAGTATTTTTTAGTTTTTACTTTATTGTACTAAATTTTATTTATGGAATGGTTATGATCCATTTATTACCTGTTAACCACTTTTTGAGCGCAGACTTAAAACTTAAACTGACATAAATGTTTAATGCTTTGGAGCACAGACTTTGCTTTGGTCTCTTTTTAAAGAAGACACTTGGAAAATAGCTTCTGAAGTGAAACAATATATACTGTGTATATATCATATAATATGAAAAATGCACAAAATATTTACATTTTATCTGAAATATGTAACGTTTTGCTCTCAAACTGTGTGAAAACCAAAGCCCTATATCGAAACGAGTTGTGTTCCAAATATGAGGTTGACATATCAAAAAAATGAGTTTTCAGTAAGATTTTGTTTTGGGCGCAGTACCAAACGTTTCCACTTGATGAAATACGCTTCCCATTCGTTTCCAGTGTGGTCATTTTTGACTGCAAACAGTACAAGTGTGGCTATTTTTATTTATTTTTTTCAGGACCATTTAATCTTTTCGAATCATGTTCTTTACCAAGTTTCGTACAATTCCGATGAAGTAAACAATAAATAAATAAATACAAATTTTGTCAAAAATGACCGAACGGCACCAGAGGGTTAATTAGGTTGGAGCTAAACATCTGTTAGTGATGGGAAGATTGGATTATTTTACTGACGTTCTCGTTCATCAAAATAAATGTAGTCAAGCCATTCAGTTGATTAGAGTGGCATTAAATATTATATTTTCAACAGCCAATTTCTCCGAACACGTCCACCTATGCAATCTTGATCATATTCCAAATGAGGAAATCATCATATCACTAATGTTTGTACTCGTATAGAGAAATACTGTATATGCATGTAATTGTAACTAACATCATTTTTGCCCCGTTTACAGTAAAGCAGCTGTACAGGCCGTCCAGGCCCAAAATTTGATTTGCATTTTGGACATTGACATGCAGGGAGTGAAGAACATCAAGAGAACCGATCTCAACCCCATCTATGTGTCCATCCAGCCTCCGTCGATGCAAACCCTGGTGAGAAATCAGCCATCTTTTTTGAATTATCCGTCTTTTTCACGTTTTATTCGAAAACTTCATTTCTTCAGGAAAAACGCTTAAGGGATAGAAAAACGGAATCTGAGGAAAGCCTACAGAAACGTTTACATGCAGCCAAAGTTGACATGGAAATAAGTAAGTGTCCGTTCCTGTGCGAATTATTTTTGAGTAAAATACTGCAGTAATTGTTTTCACATCTAACTGTTATACATCCATATTTCAGGTAAAGAGCCAGGTTTATTTGATGTGCTGATTATCAATGATGACCTCGACTTAGCATATGGGAAATTAAAAGATGCTCTTCTTGAGGTAAGATTTTCCAGTCACTAAGGGCCAGATTTACTAAACATGGCAAATTAGTCAGACTGCAATCCCTTTAAAAACCGCCAATGCTTTTTTGCAAAAGATGCCCGTTCTACTGTTACATCCCTATTCATTATAACATCCCTCTAATGTCTTCCTCCTTTTATCTGTGATCTCTTTCTGTCATGTGAGAGTAAGCTCCTCGTGGTTTCTCTTCCTCAAACAGGAAATCCAGAAGGTCAGAGACACCAACAATTCCTAGACGAGAGCACACCTGCTAACCACAGCGACCTTCAAACCTCAACATTCCACCCAGGAAAGACTTTCTGAGGTTCAGTCGATACTCCCAACACCGCTGAACGTCAAACATTTATACATTACTATACGGTGCAGGCTCAAATGATATATTCTGAGTTTATTTCATGACCACGTACGTTACGTAATTCCTGGGCTAAAGGTCAGAAACATGAAGATTCAACCAAGAAACACTCTGAAAGTCCTTGTTTTTGAAAAGTTTGTTTTGATTTTTGAACGATGGAAGAGACGGTGCATAATACAGATTTTATATATCCATCTAGCACGTTCACTAATTTATTGGGGGTTTTTTCTATGCTGATATTTTATTATAACTCATTCTTTGCGGTTGCAAACACAACGCAGCTTTCCATTCGCAACATTTTAACATTCAGAGCTATTATCTGCACATACGAGCAGCGTGTCGCACCTGCTTTCACTCAGATATAATTGCATCTGAACGTCTGACAAGTCGAGGAAAGCCTGGTTTCTTAACTAATACCTAATTCTTAAATGATGGAAATGTTTGCGTCTCATCATGTTCCGCGTGCACATTACATGCACATTACTCGGAATCAGATTACGCTTTGTAAATTTCACTTTAATATGTTTACCAGCTTTGAAAGTTTTATAGAGTTCAAAGCCGATGCAGGCTTTGTTTCAGACTCTGTTTTTTAGCGCAAGGCAGCTTATAAACACAGCCACAAGTCTCTTAGTAGGTTTAGGAGACTAAACTAGACTTGATGCTTTTAGTCTTATACAGCTGATCTTTAGTAGATCGTTCCAGTAGTTCTGATCTATTCCTGTTAATATTAAATGTGACCATCAAATAATACATCATTTTAAACTGAAATTATAGATTACATGCACAATTCATTTTTTCTTCTTACCGAATTTTACCTAAATTCTTATTATAATAAATGTAACAAAACAATGGATTGGGTCGTTTGACCCACTGATAGTATAAAAAGTGATTTCACATGATAAAATACTCAAAAATGTGAAATCATGAGCTAAATGGAGGTTTCAGTCCACCTGGTATGTATAAAAGTTTTAAAATGGGCTCTTGTGTTTTTCTATTGAGCGCACACACACGTTTATATTTGTTTCTCCCAACCTTCAAAGTACTGTATGTTACTCATTGTCCATTGAGTGTGAAAAAGATGTAATATAATAACTTGTGATGTACAGACCTACAAATGAAACATGAAGTTTATCAAAATGGAACAAAGTTTTTCCTAAAATGGCACAATTTTTAAAAAAAATCAGAAGAAGCCAAATGACCAGACACCAGCTGTTTCCGGCATGTAGAGCGACTTTGTGTATGTGGCGCATTTACAAGTTGACTTGTTTTGTGTTTTTATTTTTAAATATAGTTGTCAAGCCATGGTTTGCTGTCTCTAGGGAATCTTAGAAAACTGCAGAACTCATGCCATTCCTTACTGCATCTCAAACATTTCCTTGAAAGAAATCTGTCAAATGTTTGTGGTGTATGTGAAATCTGAGAAATGCAGTTAATGTCTAAGCCAAATGTCACCGGTTTCTTTTTATTTTTTTATTCTAGAACTAATTTACATGTACCATGCAAGTGTAATAAAACTGCACTATTACGGTGACGTATGTGACTGTTTGATTAGTTATCAGTCGAAATATACATTGTAATATCTTATTTGTGACCACAAAAGCAGTGTTAAGTCGCTGGAGGATATTTGTAGCAAACCAAATGTCACCGGTTTCTTTTTATTTTTTTATTCTAGAACTAATTTACATGTACCATGCAAGTGTAATAAACTATTACGGTGACGTATGTGACTGTTTGATTAGTTATCAGTAGAAATATACATTGTAATATCTTATTTGTGACCACAAAAGCAGTGTTAAGTCGCTGGAGGATATTTGTAGCAATAGCCAAAAATACATTGTATGGGTCAAAATTATTGATTTTTCTTTTATGCCAAAAATCATTAGGATATTAAGTAAAGATCATGTTCCATGAAGATATTTTGTGTTTCCTACCGTAAATATATCAAAACTTAATTTTTGATTAGTAATATGCATTGCTAAGAACTTCATTTGAACAACTTTAAAGATGATTTTCTCAATATTTAGATTTTTTTGCACCCTCAGATTCCAGATTTTCAGATAGTTGTAGATCAGCCAAATATCGTCCTATCCTAACATGTATATATCCTATTGTATTTGATGATATTGATGTTATGTTAATAATGGTTAACCCTTGTTTAAATTTTAGTGCAAACAACATACATTTTTACCAAAATGTGTATTTTTATATTTCACCCACATTTCCTTTCATAAATCTAATTCACACTAGTTAGATGTCCCAATCGAAACCCATTAAAACTGCAATATTTAATCCAGGTAGCAATTAATATGACAAAAAAACACACAAAATCTATTATTTTCCATATATTAACTGCTAAGCATGAAAAAATATAAAAGTTAATGGATTATGTTTTGTCTGTGTACCCATGATTCACTGTAGATTAACATTAAGCCTGCTATTAAATACATCCGGTCACACTTTAGTTTTGGAACCAATTCTCACTATTAACTACAACTTTTGCCTCAATAAACTCCTAATCTGCTGCTTATTGATAGTAAGGCAGTTGTTAAATGTAGATCTGGAGTAGGGTTAAGGGATCTAAACCATGATCATGCAGAATAAGACACTGATATGTGCTTTATTAGTATTAAACAGCCAATATTCTAGTAATATGCATGCTAAATAAGCAACTAGTTAATAGTGAAAACAGGATCCTAAACTAAAGTCCTTTGGGAATGTTTGGTTGCCATCGAGTCAGATACGGGAGTCAAAGTGGAGCGGCAAAACACAGTTTCTTTTTATTCCAGGAAATAGTCTCTATTAATGAAATATTAAAGCTCTCAGCTGAACAAATTCTAGTACTTGTATTAAGTTCTAATATTTTAAACAACAACCAAGCATGTTTTCCACAAGCTTAAGATTGTGAGAAACAAACAGGTACAATACAAAAGTGCAAAATGTAACATAAAACATTGTGAAATGAGAGGTAAATGTGAAACAGGACTCAACAAAAGAAGCAAGTCGCTGGCTAATATTCACATCAGCAACACTGAGATGATGATGATGATGAAGACCAGCTATACATAATGAATGGTGTGCAGTACGGCTGAACTGAGTGGCTTATTGAAGCAGGCTGTGAATCTTCTGGCTGACGGCTGATTAGAAGTGCTGTTATACAAATGTTTGAATTGCTCATGATCTCACAGTGTCTCAAAACGAAGTCTAAAAAGACTCACCTTGACACTTACTTCCTAAACGAGCCTCACCAAACGCACAGGCTAACATATGAGACCGATCTCTGGTGGTCTTCTTCACTCATTTAAAAATGATAATAAATTAGACACTGTAAAACCAGTTTCATGTTGCTGGGTGTGAATATGTGGCCTATCAGAGCACAGCTACACCTCCATCACAGCGGCTGGTGATCATGTTACCGATCTCTGTCCATGTGTCCAGATGGGGGTCGTAGATTTCGACCGAGTCGACAGTGACCGGCGCTGAAAAGTCCCGGCTAGAGGTCCGACCTCCCACCGCATACAACAAACCATTAACGGCTGCAACCGTTACCCCAGCGCGCGGGACAGCCATCGACGCCACCTCCACCCACTTCTCCTGCAACACCAGAGCCATATGCATACGACTCAAAACATCTGCATAAAGGCTTGCATTTTTAGTAATGTCAACAGTGTTGCATGTAGGGCTGCAACTAAGGATTGTTTTGATAATTCTGTTGATTATTTCTTAAAAATCCAAATATTTGTTACAATTTAATCATTTAAATTAAAAAAGTTTTAATTAATTATTAAAAATGTTATTCTACATCCTGCCCAGTGCTGTCTTCCAAACAACGTGCAATCTGAAGTCTGAAAACAAATAGTGAATGTATCTGTGTAGGCTATGTATACATTATGTGCAAAAAAGGGTCAAATATATTACATTCTATAACAAAAACAAATGTTTGCTTATCATTTTAAAGCTGAAGTTAAAATCACTAAATTAAAAATCATAAAACAAAAGCACACACTAAACAAGGAACAAGCACTCATCCGAACCAAGTAATTCTATCATATTTACGTCAATTAACTACTTTTAATTCCCTTTACTATGGAAGCCCATTTCCGCCACAAGACTAAAAAACTTTTTTATCGCAATTGAGAGTTTATTTTCTCATAATTCTGACTTTTTTTCTCAGAATTGCGACTTTATTTCTTGCAATTGCGAGTTTATAGGCTTTCTCGCAATTCTGAGTTTGCATCTTGCAATTCTAACTTTTTTTCTCAGAACTGCGAGATATAAACATGATATTGCGATATTTTACAAAGTCACGATTATAAGAAATAAAAACGGAATTGCGAGATTTTTTTAAATCACAATTGCGATTTCATGACTTTCAGTTGCAAGATATAATCCTGCGATTCTAAAACGAAAAGTCAGAATTGTAGATGAAAAATCGCAATTACGAGAATTGTTAGAAAAAAAGTCAATTATTTTTTTTATTCTATGGCAGAAACAAGCTTCCATACTTTACTGTTACTGGTCTCATAAAAACACAATTCTTCGTGTTACATGTACAATTGTTTAATTTCTATCAAGAAATATTTTAGTAAAATGTATAAAGTCAGAATGATTGCATGCTCCGTCTGTTTGACGCACAGGACAAGCCGCATTAAATGATATGCTTATATGTTTGTTATTTCTGTAAAGTAACGTGACCGGCAGATGTGCACAGTGCATAGATGAATCAATAATCAAATTCATCCGGTTATTTTCATTATCGATTAGTTGTTGCAGCCCTATATGGATCAGACGTTATGGTGCTCTAACCTCCTCCAGGCAGTACTTCTCCACTGTGTCCAATGATCCCAGAGCCTCGTTCCAGCCTCCTACAGCGTAGATGCAGTTATTGAGGCTAGCTACACCCACGTACGCCCGTCGGGTCACCATGACCGGCAGGGCGCTCCAGCGGCGAGAGATGGGGTCGTAAACCTCAGCCGAGCGCAGCTCCGTACCCTCATCACTGATGCCACCAATCACATAGATGAAGCCTGGAACAGACGCACAGCATACTGAAAACAAGGGCCTGCATACTTTCTTCATATTTCCACAGTGCACTAAAAGTATGCACTGGCTTGGTTACTGGTTAACGTTATTTTCCCTGCCAGAGTGCTACAGCGGTGGTGTATTCTTGTAGGCAGTGCTGGGTAGCAAACAATCACATAAAAAGATTCCAGAAATTAGGTACTTGTAATTAGATTACATTTTAAAATGCTTGTAATCAGATTACAGTTACTTTTCTATAGATTACATGATTACGTATGCAGACAACGGTAGTAAATTATTCATTATTTATTGATTCACCTTAATCTTTATTCTCTCCCTAAAATTCTACACTTTGATGGTTGACTATTTTAAAAAGAGTTTTTAAAATGAAATCCGTTTAATTTGCTATTTTCGCTTTTCATCAACTCACAAACTACAGTTTGGTAAACCCTGGCATACTGTAATGTTTAATACATTTCATGATGTTGATAAAGAATTGAATAGATTTTCTTATCAGTAATGTCAAAAGTAATCTAAAAGTAGTTAGCATACATTACCTAATATGTGTAATCCAATAGATTATGTTACAAACTACAATTTCCGTCATGTAATCTGTAATCAGTTACTAACAGACTACAATTTGTAATCTACCCAGCACCGTTTGTTGGCCAAAACCCTAAAACGAGTTAGCATTGTAGCACTTCCAGTGCCATCTTCATGAAGTCAGTGGGTGGTTTTCTTTGTGTGTTTTTGGTTAAATGCCTGAAATAAGGTGTGTAGTTAACACAAGCTTAAAAGATTTCATCATTCGCTTGAAATGCATGTTCAAGTCCAATGAATTAAACCTTCAAAAGTCATTTATTAAAGGAATAGCTGACCCAAAAAAGAATATGTTGTCATCATTTTCTCACCCTCACGTCATTCCGAATCTGTTTAAGTTTCTTTCTTATGTTGAACACAAAAGATTTTTTTAAAGAAAGAAACTCATGCAGGTTTGGAACGACATGAGGGTGAGTAAATGATGACAAAATGTCATTTTTGGGTGAGCTTTTCCTTTAACACGGTTGGGTTTAACAAGGTACTTGCGTACCTTGCAGCTCACAGCAGCCAAAATAATATCGAGGAACAGCCATGCTCCCAATAACCTCCCATTTATTTTCTTCTGGGTCATATCGTTCCATGGTCTTCCCGATTTCTGAGCCAATCCAGCCACCTGAAACCATAACCATTTACATTCAAGCCAGACATTTTTATGCAAAGTAACATTCATTGCCCTCAATGTGTACATTTTATCATTGCATGCATGCATTGCCAGGGAAAACATGACCTTGGCAGGAATGTTGCTAAAAGCGTTAACAAATCACAAGGTGTTACAGTGCGACTGAACAAAACCCTGAAGAGCGAAGCAGACTGACAGTGCCTAAACTCATCCAGCCGGAAAGCATCTAAATCTGCGTACCAAGTGCGTAAAGAGCTCCATGACAGGAATAAACTCCAACCCCACAGCGTGGATAGTTCAGAGACGCCACTGCCGCCCACTGCTTGGTCACTGGGTCGTACCGCTCCGTGCAGTCGAAAATCATGGAGTCCTTTTCTCCTGTGCAATACAAGACGGCTGTATGTTTATTATTCCCTCAATTGTAAGTCGTTTTGGATAAAAGCATCTGCTAAATGAATAAATGCATTGTAAATGTAAATGCAGTGCAGCATTTGGGATCATTTAGTGCGTCACAAATCAAAATATGTTGCAATGAGTTTTCCAGATAGTCTGCTATTTCCGGTGGAAATTTGAAGTGCACACTAATATTGCCCAAAACCCACTGCGCACTGGATGAAGATTTGATTTGATTAGAACAACAAACATGAATTAAAAAGTGTCCAAAAACTGAAGCATGGTGCAATGGCTAAGTAGAAAGGTTTAGAAATAATTAGTAGTTTCTTGCACAGAGCAATTGTTTCGCTTCACAAGACCCAAATATATCGTCAGGAGCCACAGGGATTCATTTTGTGTTGCCTATATATGCTTTCTTTGACTCTCAAAGTGATGGTAGCTGTTGACTTGCATGTTATTAACTCTTTTCCCGCCACACATCTTCTGAAAGAGTACTGAATATCTGTATCAAAACAAGGCGAAGAAGAAGCAGAAAGCAGTGGTTGCGTATGTAAGCAGATTCATATGTAAAATAATGCCAACATCACACATTAAACAGCATATCAAAACTGCCTAATGTTACCAAATTAAATGTGAGCCTGGAGCACAAAACCAGAATTAAGTCGCTGGGGTGTATTTGTAGCAATAGCCAACAATGCATTGTATGGGTCAAAATTATACATTTTTATGCAAAAAATCATTAGGATATTAAGTAAAGATCATGTTCCATGAAGATATTTCGTAAATTCCCTACCGTAAATATATCAAAAATGCATTTTTGATTAGTAATATGCATTGCTAAGAACTTAATTTGGACAACTTTAAAGATGATTTTCTCAATATTTTGATTTTTTTGCACCCTCAGATTCCAGATTTTCAAATAGTTGTATCTCAGCCAAATATTGTCCTATCCTAACAAACCATACATCAATGGAAAGCTGTATGTATAAATCTCAATTTCTTAAAAAATTGACCCTTATGACTGGTTTTGTGGTCCAGGCTCTGATAAATCATAACCCCTTTCTCATATCAAGCCGTTTACAGATTCTTGGCAGAATGTAGTAGTATTGCACAAGCCCCTCCCACGATTGTTGATCGACGCTAATGTTTTACTTTAGACCCGCCCTGAGTAGCAGAGGACTCAGGAAGACAAGAATGTCTCCTAAGCGATCGAGGTGTTCTGTTGTTGCATGTAATAATGAACATAGCAGTCCTCATTTATTTCTGACATCTGAGCCGCTGAAGACGCAGTGGATCACGTTTGTTTTAGAAGGGAATGCGCCCCCGATCTGCCTAAATGTGTTTATGTTCGCGCGACTCATTCGTGATCCAGCTTCCCATACTTTTTTTTATGAACCTTTACAAATCGCCCTTTCCTAATAATGTGCTAGTTTGCAACTGAAGTTAAGAGTCTCTCAGAGAGCGGCTCGGAAGAGAGGGGCGGGGTCAGCAGAGCTCATTAGTATTTAAAGCAACATGCAACAAAACGTGTCGCTGTGAACAGAGCTGATTTTGACAGGGTAAAAAGGGTGTTGTTTTACACTACCATTGAGAAATTTTAACCAAAGTCCGTTATAGACTTTTCATTAAGACCCTAAAGAATCATATCAACTTGTGGAAAATGGGCATCCGATGACCCCTTTAATACATTTTCATTTGAAACTTTTTTCTTTTTCTGTCCTTATATTTTTATGATCATTAATTATCTTGTAACGCATTTTGAATAACCATTGTGTAAGAATTTATAGTTTAACATAACCTGCATTGCCTATATTATTTGACAGAAAAATATTTTATTCTTTTTTTTTGCTCTTAAATCCTCTTAAAATGCCTCTGTAACATTTCTGTAAATTATAACCTTGTCAGACTACGTGAAAGTTTCTTCCAATTATGTCCATCTAATCAGAGGATACAAACATGAGTCTTGAGCGGTGAGGAGCACTAAAGTGAAACACAGCATCTCTCTCACCCTCGATGTACTTGTAGAGTCTCTGTGGAGACAGCAGCGGGAAGCGCACCGGTTCCAGAACTTCCACCACATGCTTCTTCCTGTGCGGCACGTCGTGGTGCAGCCAGTCCATAGCAGCCGTGAACACCTGATACTCGTCTTCGATCCTGAGCTCCTCACTGCGGAGCAGCTTCACCAGCTGATCTTTAGACAAGCTCGAGAACTCTTCTGAGGCACACACCTGACTCCAGAATGCAGAGGTTTTCAAAACCACAAAATACTGACAGTCGTGAAGGCTAAATATTTGGAGCCCTACAAGAATCACTGTAGAGCAAAAGTGGGCAATACTCATAATAGTGATAAGTCATTTATCTTGATGCCTGCCCGGAGTAACCTGCCGTTAAAAATCCTTCTGTTGTGTTGGTCAGTTTGACCTGCATTCGATTTTCAAAGTGCTTGAAACACTGGTTTAACTATGATTTTTTTTACTAATATTAATTTTTTTTCTCAATTAGGGTCACGAATGTACATGCAAAGTTTCAACACATAGGTTTGTTTTGGAAAGGCTGTACGAATTTTGTTTACATCAATTGTGTTTGGGGTCAAATTGCAATTTGCCAAAAATCAACGCTTTGTAAAACAACAAAGAGTTAGGTAAAAAAATGAAAACCTTTACACTGAAATACAAGTGCTGTCTAAAAAATATACAGCCATGTAATATGTAAAATACAGACATTTATCGAAGAAGACACAAGACACAAGAAACATTGTGCGTAGGTCCCCTTCAAAGGTGATTTTAGTTTTGGGAAAAGTCAGAAGTCGCAAGGCATCAAATTTTGAGCTGTAGGGGGCCATCTGAGCACCAGTTACCCACAGCTGCGGCCGTTTTCATCGTTTTGCATTTCTCATATTACATGGCTGGAATCTGGATACTTTCCGGACAGCCCTCGTTTGATATATGCGTGAGAATTTATGAAATTTACGACTGAAATGTAAGGCTAATGTTGCTAAAGCTATGCCTGTTTTCACTGATGCTGCCTTCACGTGCTACCAGAATGATTGTAAATAGGAATGTGGTAGTTAAAAAATTGCATATGAAAGCAATGTCGACCGCTTGAATTTTCGAGCTCATAATCACAAGTAGGACTTCTAAAGTTTGTGACAGCAGCTAAGGCACCATGAGACCAGCTGTCGTTATTTTATCGCACCGTGCTCCTCGTCTGTGCAATTCATAAACGATCATTTATTATGCACATCATTTATCATGACTTTTAAACCGAGTATGTTTTCTGTAAAGATAACAGGCTTGTACTAATAGTGGAATGTTTATTTGTATGCCAGAGCTTGAGCTCTTGAAGCTCCGCCCTCTTCTGAAAAGCAGCAGCTCATTTGCATTTAAAGGGACACACACAAAAACGGCGCATTTTGGCTCAAAGCCTAAAAGTGGCCATTTTAACAAGCTATGAAAAATTATCAGTGGTGTATTTTGAGTTAAAACTTCACATATACACTCATCTTTAAGTTATGAAACGTACAAGATGTTTTAATGGTACAAAGGCCTCTTATATGTCAAAAGATCAACGCATGACACATTTAAATCCGTGAATCAGGGTTAAAAGAAGCAAAAACTCAATGCTGAGAATATTTGAAACGGAAAACTGTGAACCCACCTCTAGAAAGTGGACATGGATGTAGTCTTCAGTGAACTGTAGCAGCTCCATACAGGCGATCTGCTCCAAAAAGCGATAGATCCCCACACAGTTGGATGGGTCCATATGAGCCCGCAGGAATTCTCCACATATATCCACCACCTCACTCAACTGCAGCATGTCTGCAGCCACCATCAGCTCCTGCACAGTGTCCACCGTCACGTCAATAGAGCCTGTCAGGAGCAAAAGAAGAGCGTTTTAATATGTTTGCCATTCATACACTGGGAAGAGTTTGGGAAATGTGGAGCTTTTACATTACACTCTTATGCACACTGCAAAAAAGGCTTATCTTGCTTAGTATTTTTGTCTCGTTTCTAGTCAAAATAACTAAAAATTCTTAAATTAAGATGCATTTACTAGATAAGCAAAATGACAAGATATTTAGTCTTGTTTCCAGATGGGGAAAAAACTGAATTACGAGCATTTTGCTTAAAATAAGTAAAATGTTCTGCCAGTGGGTTAAGTAAAATATTCTTGTCTGTACTCTGCTTAATAGCCCGAGACAAAAGAGCACATCTCAAAGTCTCTATTATATTCTGGTCTCTCAAGTAACTCAATGTAAATAGTCAAATGCCAGCACACCTCTCCTCAAGAAGTTGGATGATTTGAGGTATTGTTCACATAACTGGTAGAGTTACACCTCGACGTTTAAAACGTCTTGTTAGAGGTTTGTTCAATTGAGCAATATTAAAGGAATAGTTCATCCAAAAATGAAAATTTGGTGAAAATTTACTCAGCCTCAGGCTATCCAAGATGTAGACGAGTTTGTTTCTTCAACAGAGCATTGCATCACTTACTCACCACCAAAGGATGCTCTGAGGTGAATGGGTGCCGTCAGAACGAGAGTCCAAACAGCTGATAAAAGCATCACAATAATCCACAAGACTCCAGTCCATCAGTTAACATCTTGTGAAGTGAAAAGCTGTGTTCATTAAGATGCTTTTAACTTCAAACTGTTGCTTCCAGCTAAAATACAAGTCCATAATCCATAATAACGCTTCCTTCAGAATCAGTCTGAATCAGAAGAGAAATCTGCACAGATCAAGCTAGCACTGTTTACAATTATGTTGCGCTATTACGGATTACAGACAACTGTCTTAATGATGGATTTGAGTCTTACAAACAACTGATGGACTGGAGTGGTGTGGATTATTGTGATGTTTTTATCAGCTGTTTGGACTCTCATTCTGACGGCACCCATTCACTGCTTTCCGGACAGCCCTCGTTTGATATATGCGTGAGAATTTATGAAATTTACGACTGAAATGTAAGGCTAATGTTGCTAAAGCTATGCCTGTTTTCACTGATGCTGCCTTCACGTGCTACCAGAATGATTGTAAATAGGAATGTGGTAGTTAAAAAATTGCATATGAAAGCAATGTCGACCGCTTGAATTTTCGAGCTCATAATCACAAGTAGGACTTCTAAAGTTTGTGACAGCAGCTAAGGCACCATGAGACCAGCTGTCGTTATTTTATCGCACCGTGCTCCTCGTCTGTGCAATTCATAAACGATCATTTATTATGCACATCATTTATCATGACTTTTAAACCGAGTATGTTTTCTGTAAAGATAACAGGCTTGTACTAATAGTGGAATGTTTATTTGTATGCCAGAGCTTGAGCTCTTGAAGCTCCGCCCTCTTCTGAAAAGCAGCAGCTCATTTGCATTTAAAGGGACACACACAAAAACGGCGCATTTTGGCTCAAAGCCTAAAAGTGGCCATTTTAACAAGCTATGAAAAATTATCAGTGGTGTATTTTGAGTTAAAACTTCACATATACACTCATCTTTAAGTTATGAAACGTACAAGATGTTTTAATGGTACAAAGGCCTCTTATATGTCAAAAGATCAACGCATGACACATTTAAATCCGTGAATCAGGGTTAAAAGAAGCAAAAACTCAATGCTGAGAATATTTGAAACGGAAAACTGTGAACCCACCTCTAGAAAGTGGACATGGATGTAGTCTTCAGTGAACTGTAGCAGCTCCATACAGGCGATCTGCTCCAAAAAGCGATAGATCCCCACACAGTTGGATGGGTCCATATGAGCCCGCAGGAATTCTCCACATATATCCACCACCTCACTCAACTGCAGCATGTCTGCAGCCACCATCAGCTCCTGCACAGTGTCCACCGTCACGTCAATAGAGCCTGTCAGGAGCAAAAGAAGAGCGTTTTAATATGTTTGCCATTCATACACTGGGAAGAGTTTGGGAAATGTGGAGCTTTTACATTACACTCTTATGCACACTGCAAAAAAGGCTTATCTTGCTTAGTATTTTTGTCTCGTTTCTAGTCAAAATAACTAAAAATTCTTAAATTAAGATGCATTTACTAGATAAGCAAAATGACAAGATATTTAGTCTTGTTTCCAGATGGGGAAAAAACTGAATTACGAGCATTTTGCTTAAAATAAGTAAAATGTTCTGCCAGTGGGTTAAGTAAAATATTCTTGTCTGTACTCTGCTTAATAGCCCGAGACAAAAGAGCACATCTCAAAGTCTCTATTATATTCTGGTCTCTCAAGTAACTCAATGTAAATAGTCAAATGCCAGCACACCTCTCCTCAAGAAGTTGGATGATTTGAGGTATTGTTCACATAACTGGTAGAGTTACACCTCGACGTTTAAAACGTCTTGTTAGAGGTTTGTTCAATTGAGCAATATTAAAGGAATAGTTCATCCAAAAATGAAAATTTGGTGAAAATTTACTCAGCCTCAGGCTATCCAAGATGTAGACGAGTTTGTTTCTTCAACAGAGCATTGCATCACTTACTCACCACCAAAGGATGCTCTGAGGTGAATGGGTGCCGTCAGAACGAGAGTCCAAACAGCTGATAAAAGCATCACAATAATCCACAAGACTCCAGTCCATCAGTTAACATCTTGTGAAGTGAAAAGCTGTGTTCATTAAGATGCTTTTAACTTCAAACTGTTGCTTCCAGCTAAAATACAAGTCCATAATCCATAATAACGCTTCCTTCAGAATCAGTCTGAATCAGAAGAGAAATCTGCACAGATCAAGCTAGCACTGTTTACAATTATGTTGCGCTATTACGGATTACAGACAACTGTCTTAATGATGGATTTGAGTCTTACAAACAACTGATGGACTGGAGTGGTGTGTGGATTATTGATGTTTTTATCAGCTGTTTGGACTCTCATTCTGACGGCACCCATTCACTGCAGAGCATCCACTGGTGAGCAAGTGATGCAATGCTACATTTCTCCAAATCTGATGAAGAAACAAACTCATCTACATCTTGAATGCCCTGAGAGTGAGTACGTTTTTAGGAAATGTCCATTTTTGGGTGAACTATTCTTTTAATAGTGATGCTGACCATTATCAAGCACCACTAATTAACTTCCCACAGGTCACTTTTAACCCCAAGGCACTCGAAAGGTTTGTGAAAAATAAAAAGCCTTTATAATAAAACGGAGAGTTCCGGTCCTTGATTCTGATTGGCTGAGCCGCGTTCGAAGCTGTTGTAAAATCGACGTATTTGTGAGGTTTTTTTTATGTAAATCCATGTGAGAATAAAGACTTTTGAGTGCCTTGGAGTTCAAAGTTTTTGATGAATTAAAAAAAATCCCGCATCCAAAGAGCACCGATTTATGGACTGTATACCCCAGTAGCTTTTTCTTCTGCATGTTTCTGATTGATGGACAAACACATGTATGACACCAGCATACCAGTGTAAATAAATTCTAGGAGAATTTCAAAGACGTCAGCTTCCACTCCAACAATGCGAACCTCCTCCTCATGGGCTTCGCTCATAGCTCCAGAGAACAGAGCAGCGAAGTACGGGCCGCTGGCAGCCAGCACCAGCTTATGGACCCCGAACACCCTTCCGCCTACCAGCAGCCGCACGTCGCAGAAGTCAGACTGCTGGCGCATTTTGTTCATCTGAGCTAGCAGGAGCCCAGCGTGTCTGTCCGAGGAGAAAATCCCACGATCGCTCGCCGCCCCGGCCTCAGCTCCCGCCGCGGAGCGCCGAGGGTGCGACAGAGATGGACCAGCGGAGGACATGATGATTCCAGCTGGACACCACAACAATGCTCTTTTACCTAACACACACACACACACACACACACACACAGAAACATTTAATACTTCTAAAAATGCACTTACTACAGCGAGGCCATCCATTCACAGCCGACCTGAGAAGGCCTATTTAATTGCAATTCAGTTCCAAAATTAGAACCGAGATAGCAAACAAGCAGAATGCAGACTTTCGATGCAAACTAGTATTTAAGGAAAATGTTATATTTGACTGCATATTATAAATTATCTCTCTTGTTTGTGAAGTATGCCGGAAGAAATTTAATTGCACAAAATTATTATCATCAAAATGTAAAATCAATTTTTAACCCCCAAAATGGAACATAAAGATATAACCATATAATCAACACATTCAAATGTGTGTCAATATTTGCATTTCTGATTAAAACGTTTACATACCCCTTGCAAATTATGCAAGATTTTAACAAAATAATAGGATCGTAAACATTTATTTTATTTAGTACTGTCCTGAATACATCTTTTCTCACATGACGTCAAGACAAAATAAAAACTGAATTTACACAAATTAACTAGTTCAAAAGTTTACATACCCTTGACTCTTAATGTGTGTTGTTGTTGTTGTTACCTGGATGATCAATGGCTGTTTTTTTATTTATTCTGATGGTCCAACTGTTCTTCAGAAAATATTCCAGCTCCGGCACATTCTATGTTGAAGAAAGAGAAATATCATTGTAGGAAATGAAGAAGATAGGAGAATCGAATTAACAATTAGAAATAATATTAAGAATATATTCAATCCAAAAATAGAGGGAGAATCTCTGCTTTGATAGCCTACACTTCCTAGAAAACATGGGTCTAATATGTAGAATCCCTGTTGAAAAAACAGCATAAACTGGTTAGGTATGTTTTGACGCTGGGATGCTGGTTTAAGATGGT